CAGGTTTCTGAGGACCCTTCCTTTGGCATTGTGCCTGGCTAAAGGAACATGCCCCTGACTCATTCCTGCCCCTAGCGGGGCCCGTCCTGAATCCAGAGCAGTTTTCATGTGTCACAGCTTGGGGCCTACCAGACACCTGTGTTTCTGCCTGCCGGCATCTGTTCCCATTCCTCAGGAACCATCAACCCCCATCTCCCCGGCCTTTGAGAACCTACCTTGCCCAGGTTCTGCCCAAAACAGGTTCTGGTCCAAACTTGGGCCCATCAAAGTCTTCTAGGGCTTTATTTATGGGTGCCGAAGGGAGGTGCCTGGGTTTAGACACCTTTGCCCTCCCCCTTCCACTGTCCACAGAGAGACTGTCTGCTACCCAGAGAAGGATCAAATGAGGCCACCACAAAGGCTGACGCCAAGGAGTGGACACCTGATGTCAGAATGTGGGTCCCTGGACCCCTGAGGCCAGTCTCACATAGCTCCTGACCCAGTACTGTTCCTTTGAGTTTTACTTTTAAAATAAGTTAGTCTTGGGTTTCGTTCGCTTGCAGCTAAAGAAGTCGTGATTACATCATGGTGCCTTGAGGTGGTTAGGGGGCCCTCACAGACAGTGTATCAGCCCTAATGTGGCTCAGAGACTCTGGGGGGAAGATGAGACTCAGCCGTCTGGTGCCAGTGAGTCTACACGTGCACCCGGCCCTCAGGCAGAGTGTGCGGGGCTTCAGGTCGGGGTGGCCCTTCATTAGCCCCAAGGCTGCACGGAGCCCTCCAGGGACCTTCCTCTGCATGAACATTTCACCTGAAACCAGAGGTTGTGGGGAGCCCTCCATGGTCCCTCTGAGGAAGGCCTCTATCACAGGCTGACTTGTCCTCTTCTCTGGGAAGCCTTTTCTGCGCCGTCTCCACCTCTCAAACACTTCGGGCCCTCTACTTGTTCCTCATTCTCCCCAGCTTACTTTGACAGTTCCTTCGGGAATGCATTGTAACAGACAGTTTCCACTAGGTCAGCCTTCTCCAGAATTTTATTTTGCATTTGGCAGACTGATAAAACTTCCAAAACAGTTTGGGAGGCTGACAGAATTTGTGCACCTCTATTTAACACCATAGAAAACAACCATGCAACAACGTGGAAAACCAAATAACACTACCATTGTATTATTGCCATTGTTTCATAAGACCGCATTGGAATGCCAAAAAAGTAGGAAGGATGTAGTTTCAGAAAAACAAACCATTCTTTGAATTAAATACATTTATCTTCCACAAAAAGCCCACATTCCCCTTATTTTTATCGTTTTACTGTAGACCAGTGAGAATATTGTCATGGAAACCAAGAGAAAGATGCAGGACAGGAGAGAGAAGCAGGAGAATGTCAGAGGGAGGCAAAGGGACTGGGAACGGGAAGCAGGAGGCAGAGCCCACCAGCCAGGCGCTTCCCTGCCCTGAAGTGATCCCGTTCTCCTGCGAGACTAGGGTGGCCACGTTTGGGCCCTGGCCAATGCACAGAGCTGTGGCCATGCTCACAGGTCAGGGGCCTCAATGACTCCCCACCCCACTGTCCGTGTGGACTCTGGTGATCTGGTTTCCACACCCCTCACTCTGTGGAGGTGCCCCACACTTGTAGGGGTGTCCCTTTCTTCTCTGGGCCTTCCTCTCCTCACCTTGAAATTAAGATTTTTAACCAGTTTTGAGTCATTTCTTAGGAAAACTGCAGACCTCTGTCATAAAAAAAAATTTTTTTAAGCCATGCACAGAGTATTTTGCATAGAATTTCAGGGGCTCCACTCCCTCTGCCCAGGGCCTTCAATAAACTTCTCAGGGCGCCCTTGCCCCAGATCACGAACCACAACCTACCTATCCTGGCGCTTAGCTGTTAGCCGCTTGCCTCCAAATGTGCCGCTTTCCTGCTCAGGCAACAATATTTCCCCATTACCTAACACAAGGGCAGGGCCAAGAGTCTCAGGGAGGGAGGTAGCTGTTCAGAGAAGTATTAGCCCCTGGGCTCCCCTCCAGTTCACAGTGCTGCTGGGAGACACAACGAGCTTCACGGATGGGTGAATAGCTGGGCCATGCCGTGGACGCGGGTCTGAAGAGACTTTCAGACCGTGACTAGTGGAGGGAGAGGACAAGGTGATGACAGGAATCCCTTCACTGGGGGCAAAGGCTTCTGGCTTCCCAAGGCAGTATAGGGCAGTGGTAAGAGCTTGGGCTTAGTAGCTGGAATACCCTGGGTTTATATCTGGCTCCGGGATTTAATTGTGTTATTTGGGAAAGTTATTTTACCTTGAACCTTTGGGTTCCTTATCTGTAAAATGGATAAGAGTTGTGTAGCATAAAAGATAGAGTAGACTAGACATTCTAGGGCTCCCTTGAGTCTCCCAGCCCTCCCGCTGCAGAAGGTTGAAGTCATACGACCAGTTCTGGCCAATAGTCTGTGAGTGGAAGAGGTGTGGGTCACACCAGGCTGAGGCAGCTAAGTGTCCATGTGCTTCCTCCACCTCTCTCTTCCGTCTTCCATAATGGCCTAGGGGACCAGCTTTCCAGATGGCAAGGCTACAAGACGGAAGGAAGTTCTCCTGTCCCGTATCAGACTCCACATGAGTGGTAAATAAAGCATTACTGTGCCAAGCCATTGGAATCTCAGGAGTACTCTGTTGTGACGGCTAGTGTTAAGTACCCTAATACGGAGAGGGCTAATGGAGATGACTGAGATGATAGCAGTCTTGAAACAGAATAGAATAGAAAAATCTCAGAGTAGATCGCATATAGTAAATGTAAGTATTATTTGTGAAATTTTAGTTCCACACATGCATACAAACACTGTACATGTGTACACACACATTTGCAGTGACGATAATCCAAATATTCAACAACCAGCATGGCAGACATCAACTAATTAGAATGGAAGTCAACAGTGTCTACTGTTGTCTAAATAACAGTATAAAATGTATCTTTTGTAGTAAAACGTGATTGAAATCCATTTGTCTATGGAATGTAGCTTAAGGCTTTCTGAGGTTGGGAAGCCGTGGGTGCAGGTTTCTGAGGACCCTTCCTTTGGCATTGCGCCTGGCTAAAGGAACATGCCCCTGACTCATTCCTGCCCCTAGCGGGGCCCGTCCTGAATCCAGAGCAGTTTTCATGTGTCACAGCTTAGGGCCTACCAGACACCTGCGTTTCTGCCTGCAAGCATCCATTCCCATTCCTCAGGAACCATCAACTCCTCATCTCCCCGGCCTTTGAGAACCTACCTTGCCCAAGTTCTGCCCAAAACAGGTTCTGGCCCCAACTTCGGCCCATCAAAGTCTTCTAGAGCTTTATTTATGGGTGCCGAAGGGAGGTGCCTGGGTTTTGGACAGTTTTGCCCTCCCCCTTCCACTGTCCACAGAGAGACTGTCTGCTACCCAGAGGATAAAATGAGGCCACCACAAAGGCTGATGCCAAGGAGTGGACACCTGATGTCAGAGTGTGTGTCCCTGGACCCCTGAGGCCAGTCTCACATAGCTCCTGACCCAGTACTGTTCCTTTGAGTTTTACTTTTAAAATAAGTTAGTCTTGGGTTTCGTTCGCTTGCAGCTAAAGAAGTCGTGATTACATCATGGTGCCTTGAGGTGGTTAGGGGGCCCTCACAGACAGTGTATCAGCCCTAATGTGGCTCAGAGACTCCCTGGGTGGGGGGAAGATGAGACTCAGCCATCTGGTGCCGGTGAGTCTACACGTGCACCCGGCCCTCAGGCAGAGTGTGCAGGGCTTCAGGTTGGGGTGGCCCTTCATTAGCCCCAAGGCTGCACGGAGCCCTCCAGGGACCTTCCTCTGCACGAACATTTCACCTGAAACCAGAGGTTGTGGGGAGCCCTCCATGGTCCCTCTGAGGAAGGCCTCTGTCACAGGCTGACTTGCCTGGAGAAGCTCCGTGGGTGGGGGGCAAATGAGCGGCACACCTGGCCGACAGGTATGACTGCCCACTTCTGTCCTCCACGGCTGGCTTGGTCTGGAAGAGGCTGTTGGTCAACTCTGTCCTCTCCATCCAGGCCTTTCTCACCAGCTGAGCTGACAGCTCCTCCTTACTCCCTCCCCAAGAAATAAGATGGGAGCTGTGTGTTCTGAGCCCTGCCCCTGATTCAGAGTGTGGTAGGGGCAGGGGTGACCTGAGGCTGGGCATGAGTTGACCTCCCTCAGGGGCATGCTGGGCCTCTCCCTCTCAGGAGACACCTCCCATCCTCACAGGCGGAGCAGGGCAGCCCTGACCCCAGCTCTGCCACCACGAGCCAGGCTGGGATTACTCTCACAGCCCCCGGGTTCTGCAGGTTCACCCGGCATCCCTCCCACGCAGGCGGCTGCCCTCGCTGCGCTCTCCTCACGGACACCTCCAAACTGTGGACCTCTGCCTGGAGGACTTTCCTTGCGGCTTGCCCTGTCCTTCACGGCTCTGCAAGAGGGCACCGCCTCTCCTGCTGGCACCAGGGCTGCCTGGGCACTCTACACAGGACTCAGTGCCTCCATCCCTTCACTCCAAGCATTCCCCACTGCTTGTCCTCTTCTCTGGGAAGCCTTTTCTGCGCCATCTCCACCTCTCAAACACTTCGGGCCCCTACTTGTTCCTCATTCTCCCCAGCTTACTTTGACAGTTCCTTCGGGAATGCATTGTAACAGACAGTTTCCACCAGGTCGGCCTTCTCCAGAATTTTATTTTGCATTTGGCAGACTGATAAAACTTCCAAAACAATTTGGGAGGCTGACAGAATTTGTGCACCTCTATTTAACACCATAGAAAACAACCATGCAACAACGTGGAAAACCAAATAACACTACCATTGTTTCATAAAACCACATTGGAATGCCAAAAAGGTAGGAAGGATGTAGTTTCAGAAAAACAAATCGTTCTTCGAATTAAATACATTTATCTTTCCAAAAAACCCACATTCCCCTTATTTTTATCATTTTACTGTAGACCAGTGAGAATATTGTCATGGAAACCAAGAGAAATATGTAGGACAGGAGAGAGAAGCAGGAGAATGTCAGAGGGAGGCAAAGGGACCGGGAACGGGAAGCGGGAGGCAGGGCCCACCAGCCAGGCGCTTCCCTGCCCTGAAGTGATCCAGTTCTCCTTCGAGACTAGGGTGGCCACGTTTGGGCCCTGGCCAATACACAGAGCTGTGGCCATGCTCACAGGTCAGGGGCCTCAATGACTCCCCACCCCACTGTCCGCGTGGACCCTGGTGATCTGGCTTCCATACCCCTCACTCTGTGGAGGTGCCCCACACTCACAGGAGTGTCCCTTTCTTCTCTGAGCCTTCCTCTCCTCACCTTGAAATTAAGATTTTGAACCAGTTTTGAAAAATGCGGACCTCTGTCTTAAAAAAAAAATTTTAAAGCCATGCACACAGTATTTTGCATAGAATTTCAGGGGCTCCACTCCCCCTGCCAAGGGCCTTCAATAAACTTCTCAGGGTGCCCTTGCCCCAGATCATGAACCACAACCTACCAATCCTGGCACTTAGCTGTTAGCCGCTTGCCTCCAAATGTGCCCCTTTCCTGCTCAGGCAACATTATTTCCCCATTACCTACACAAGGGCAGGGCCAAGAGTCTCAGGGAGGGAGGTAGCTGTTCAGAGAAGTATTAACCCCTGGGCTCCCCTCCAGTTCACAGTGCTGCTGGGAGACACGATGAGCTTCACGGATGGGTGAATAGCTGGGCCATGCTGTGGACGCGGGTCTGAAGAGACTTTCAGACCTTGACTAGTGGAGGGAGAGGACAAGGTGATGACAGGAATCCCTTCACTGGGAGCAAAGGCTTCTGGCTTCCCAAGGCAGTATAGGGCAGTGGTAAGAGCTTGGGCTTAGTAGCTGGAATGCCCTGGGTTTATATCTGGCTCCGGGATTTAATTGTGTTATTTGGGAAAGTTATTTTACCTTGAACCTTTGGGTTCCTCGTCTGTAAAACGGATAAGAGTTGTGCAGCAGAAAAGATAGAGTAGACTAGACATTCTAGGGCTCCCTTGAGTCTCCCAGCCCTCCCGCTGCAGAAGGTTGAAGTCATACGACCAGTTCTGGCCAATAGTCTGTGAGTGGAAGAGGTGTGGGTCACACCAGGCTGAGGCAGCTAAGTGTCCATGTGCTTCCTCCACCTCTCTCTTCCGTCTTCCATAATGGCCTAGGGGACCAGCTTTCCAGATGGCAAGGCTACAAGACGGAAGGAAGTTCTCCTGTCCCGTATCAGACTCCACATGAGTGGTAAATAAAGCATTACTGTGCCAAGCCATTGGAATCTCAGGAGTACTCTGTTGTGACGGCTAGTGTTAAGTACCCTAATACGGAGAGGGCTAATGGAGATGACTGAGATGATAGCAGTCCCTCTCGGTACAGAGGGGGTTGCTATCCTTAGAGAAAAGATCTACCCCCCCTACACCAGCCAGCTTGGCCAGTTTTAACAAAACACCGCAGACTGGGCAGTTTACAAGACAGAAACTTACCTCGCACAGTTCTGGAGCTGGAGGCCCCAGACCAGGTGAGGCAGGAGGCTCTGGTGACAGCTGTCCTGCTGGCTTGCAAATGGTTGCCTTCTCCCACGTCCTGACATGGCAGAGAGAGACACCAAGCTGCCTGGTGTCTCTTTTCCTGTGGGCACTAGTCCCATCATGAGGGGACCCTTATGACCCCAGCTAACCCTAATTACCTCCCAAAGAGCCCATCTAAATACCATCATGGTATTTAGGGCTTCAACACGGGAATTTGGATGCAGGCACAGCTCAGTCTGTGGCCCTTCCCACCGAGACAGGGCCCTCAGATCTTTTCTTAAGAGCAAATATTTAAAAGCAGAAGCTGGCAAGTGTGTGGTGAGGTGGGAGTTTCATCCGGAGTGAAATCGTGCAGGTCTGCTCCCCGGCTTCCCCTGAGCCTTTATCTCTCCTCGCCTCCATTCTCCGTTTCACACCTTGACTTTCCTACAACTCACAGACAGATTCTTAGACAAGCCAGCGGCCGGTTAGGACTGGAAGAGCTCTGGGTCTTAGAGGCCGTCTTGTCTAAGCACCGGATTCTTAACAGATGACAAGACAGGGCCTGGAGAGGGAACGAGGGCCGCCAGAGCGGGGGCTGGCTTACCTACAAGATAAGGGGTGCAGAGCTGTTCGCTGCAGCCGGGGCCGAGAGAGAGACGATCAAAAAGGAAGCTGTTTTCATTTCAGCATATATATTTTGCATGACTTTCAAAATAAAGCTTTATTTTATAGTTTTTTGATTTGGAAATAATACATGCGGAGGCCCCTAGGGCGCCTCAAATCTATGGTCCAGCGTGTCCGGGGCTCGAGTCCGGCTCTCGGGGCAGCGCCTTTCGGTGCGCCGTCCCTTCCCGGCAGGGCGGCTCCCGGCGGGAGGGGCTGTGCCCTCCGCGGCTGCGCGCGCTCCCGGGCTGCGGGTGGCACCCGCTCCCTCGCCTACATGCCCAGCCGGGGCGGCCCCGGGGTCACGTGGCAGGGAAGGCACCCGGCCCGCGGCCCCCGGCCCGCCGTCCTCCGCTGCCCGCTCCCATGGCTGCAGCCTTCGCGCTCCTCGCGGGGATCCTGCTGCCCTGCTGGAGCGCGTCGGCCAAGTTTACCAAGGGGTCAGTGAAGGTGAGCCAAAGCGACTGGTCCTCTACGCGGGTGGAGGCCGGGATATCGCCGTCCAGCCGCAAGGCGGCGGTGAGGTTCGGAGACAGAGTTCGGGTCGGGGTGGGAACACAACTGGGGATTTGTTCCCAGGCTTGATGTGGTCCCAAACGGGCCTCAAAGCCCTGCATCAACTCCCTGGAGGCTCTGGGGGTGAGAGACAGCGTCCTTCGGACCAGAGCTCCCCCTAACCCCCACCCAGCCCCGCTCCGGGCTGCTTTGGTCCTGGACCGCCTCCCCCAACCCCCTGAGCTTACTGGCCCGCTCCAGTTTCTTGCCCTCTCCTTCCCCTTCTAGAACAACGACTCCTCCTTCTCCCGGTCTTTCCCTGCTGTCCCTTCCTCCCAGCTCCCCCACAGTATAATCTGGGATACCCCAGCACAGATCGCACTTTGGGACTCATAGAGGGGGCACCCCAGGAAAGGTGAGGCAGAGAGACAAGTACTAACCCCTGCCTTCCCACTCCTCTGAGTGCTGGGGGGTGCTGAGGGAGTGGAGCCTGGGGGCGACCATCTCATGGCCCTACTTCCTGCACCCCTGGGGCCTTGGCAATGCCAGGAACTCTGCCCCCACCCCAGCCAGAGTGCTGGTAACCCAGGGTTGTCCCCACAGGGGAATGGGTCGAGTGCTCCCACCACTCTGAGTGCTTCAGTGACTGCTGCCTCATGAACTTGGACGTCATGGCTGCCTTCTGTGCCCCCAAGACCAGAATAAACAAGGTGTGCTTGCCCCAGGTGAGGCTCAGGGGTGGGCAGTCCCTTCTGGCATGTATGGTGGGGAAGGTTGAAAAAACCCACCTGGTTGCACCTGCTCTTCACCCTCTGCTTGGAGTGCCCTTTCCGCTTCTGCACCCCGCCAGCTCCTACTGCCCTGCAGGAGGACTTGGCCACCTCCTCTAGGAGTGCTTCTCTCCTTGGAGCTCCCGCACCTTTGGCTCCTACCCTCCTCAGAGGCTGTATTTCCCTGACTCGCCGCGCTTTCTGTCTGCCTCCGCCCCTGGTCAGGGCTCTTCAGAGCGGGATTGCAGCATATTCATATTTGAGCTCCTGTCCCCGAACTTAGTACCTGTGCACAGTAGGTGCTCAAGAAATGTTTGTTGAATGAATGAATATCTCTATCCTAACATCAGTGAGGCAAAGTAGGTGGGAAAAGACCTTCTTCTTACTCTTCCCACCTCCCTGCCACCATGACCCAATTTCTTGAGAGGAGCAAGGCCCTCCTATGGCAAGACCACAGTTTTGGTCTGGGACCTGAGCTTAATTCTGGCTTTTCCATTCCCTTTCTTCATGACCTCAGACAGGCCTCTTCCGCTCTCTGAGCCTCACTTTGTTTCCGCTCCTGTAAAATGGGGCTAAGGTGCCTAACTCACCGGGTTTCTGGGGAGAGTGTGTGGTCCTGGCAAGGACAGGCTCAGTCGAGCATGGCTGTTAGCAGCTGGTGGAAGTGCTGGGCGCAGAATGCACAGTCCTTCTTGTTACTGCTCTTCTCTCATCTGGCTCTGGGCCCAGACCTTTCTAGGCAGTTTGGGCTCAACCCCCATATCCCTGTCTGGGAGGCCACCAGTGCCCTACAGAAACAGCCAGGCTCCTACCGTGGCCTAAGTCTATAGCTGAGAGGGTGTTTTCACTGTGGGCAGGTGACCGATTTTACTTCATTTGATGCTCATTATAACCTTGTGTGCTGGGTTACCTTGTCATCCCATTTAACAGAAGGGGAAACTGAGACAAGCCTGTTTCCCTTGCCTGAGGCCAGGAGTGATCAGCTGAAGGGCTGACAGGCCCCAGGTCTGACTCAGCCCAGCACTTGAGCTCTTGCTCCTGTTCCCCAGTAGTTCAGCCCCCCTCCTCTCTGCACCTTGGTGACTCCCAACTTTCATTCCACTTTCTGCAGACCAAGGGAGCCATCAACATTCTGTGCCCCTGCCAGATGGCCTTGAGCTGCCATTCCAAGGACGTGATATTATGTCCCCGCGGGTGCTATCTGATTTAGAGGAGAATGCAGGCTGGTCACTGCCCCACTTCCCTGGGGGCGAGAGGCTTGGGGCACCCCCATCTGGTTCAAACTCCAGCTCCTGAGACATTAAAGTCACTTCCTGGCTCTGGTCTCTGTATGAACTTTCTGGGAGAGGGAACCTGGTAGGGACTGTTCCAGTCTGGGGAGGGTGAAAAGGGATACCGGAGGCATGGCCCTGTCTGCAGGCAGGGTGGCCTCAGGGTGGCACTGCAGGCAGGGGATGGAGCAGGGGGTGTGCGTGAGAGGACGGGGGTTCCAGGAAGGGCCATGTCTTGGGATGGAGAACTGTGTTGGGATGGAGGTGCCAGGATAATGAGTGTGCCTGGGAAGCATGTGTAGGGGTGCCCATGGGTGGGGGTGCCCGTGGGTAGGGGTGTGGTAGGACTGAGACGGTATCTGAACACTTTGAGGGGGAGCAAAAGAGTGGACATCCTTTAGAGAATGTTTATGAGAATGTGTGTGAAGTATAAATGCTAACTGTTCGTGCCTGTGGTGGGAAAGGGAACTGGTGCACTTTATGGCTCCACTCTCTCAGATTCTATCAGTTCCATTTTATGGATAAAGAAACTGAGGCTGAGTGAGCTCTATGACTTGTCCAAAGTCACACCATGATGTATCAGCAAGGACTCTGTCTGCTGCAGGTATCCAGAAAGCCAACCCAAACCAGTCTGGATGATGAGGCAATCATCCGTGGTGAGAACCGGAAGTCCAGAGGCCGGCAGGCCTCAAGTCTGGCTGAATCCAACAATTCCATGGCCCCCAGGCTGGATTCCTTCCCAGTAGCCACACAAGTCCCAGGTGTCACCTCATAACAACAGCTAAGATTTATTAAGCACTTACTATGTTCCTGACATTGTGCAAAGTACTTCCTTACCTGCATTAACTCATTTTATTATAACAGCAATGTTGTTGCAGGTGCTATAGTTATCCCTATTAGTAAAAAGACCCCTATTTGAGGGTTGAGGCTCAAATTAGACCAAGGGTTGGGACTGAGACTTGAACCTAGGCTGTCTTGCTCCAGTGGCAGACTCTTAACCACGAATCCACCTCACAAGTGCACAGTATATCTTCCAGAGAAAGGAAAGTCTCTGTTCCATGGTTCTTAACAAACAGTTGGATTGATTCTCATTGAATTTACTTCGTTTGCAAGCTCACCCCGAACCAATCACTGTGGTGGAATCTGCTGACTGAGTCAGCCTAGGTCATGTGCAGGGGTGGAGTCAGCTCCCTGGGAAAATTCTGATGGGGAAGGGTGCAGGTTCTACTGGCGTCCCCACGGCCAAGAGGGTATCAACACAGTCGGAATGCAGAACTCTACTCTCTTTTCTGGCCAGATGCTGATGAAGATTCCTGGTCTTGACCCACTGGTCCCAGTCTTGACCCACCCTCATGGGTCAGGCTGGAACCTGGACTCTACCTCACCCCAAGTTCTGCCCTCAGGGCCACCCTTTCCTGGACCCACTCAGCACTCATTTGACATAACAACAGTGTAACTCAGAGATCCTTGGTCTCACACAGAAATCAGAAATTGTTTTTTCTCCTCTATCATTATATCTTGATCATTTCTCCCATGTCACCAAAGTATTTTTGAAAACATTAAAGACTGCCTAATTTCATTATCTATGTGGACCATATTTTGCTTAAGTGTTTCTCCATAGTTGGATAATAAGATAATTTCCAAATCTAAGCCATCTACGTTCTTTAGGATGCAAGTTTATAGCTGCAGAAGCAAACGTACTCTAATGATGGCTTAAGCAAGGTAGATGATTTCACTCTCACCTGGCGGTTGGAAGAGGCTGGACGGAGGCTGGGCTGGGTGAGGTCATCACGTCCCCACCTCCTTCCATCTTCTTGCTCAGCCATCCACTGCTGTGCTTCCTTTTTTAAAAAAAATTTATAACATAGCACATATAGAAACATAGAAATCGGACATCTGGATAGCATCTTGGGGTAAAAGTAGAAGAGCTTTGGGGCCCTAAAGAGACTCTCCTGAGTGCAGACGGGATCAATATCTCCAGACTCACCAGCTGGGAAGTTCTGCCCTAGGACCTTCTTTCCTTCACATAGTTGAGGATGGCTCATCACCATGTCTGCTAGGGGCCACATTCCAGTTAGAAGAGAGGAGGTAAAGGGACAGCAAATGCTCACCATTCCTAAAAGAGTATGACCAAGAGGCAGCACGAATTATCTTCACTTATATCCCATTGGATGAAACTTAGTCACATGGCTGTACCTAGCTGCAAGGGATACTGGGAGATGTAGCTCTCACCTGGGCATCTATGTGTCTGACTAAAGCTTGGGGGTTCTATTCTTAAAGGGAAGAAGGAGAATGTGTAGTGGGAACAACTTGCTGCCACAGAACTCTTCATTATTATTTTAATTAGCAAGGGAAGCTTGGATCCCAGGACCTAGAACTAATGGCATACTGTTACAGCTCTTTCTTGAGCTACAGCTCTACTGGACTGTGTATCCTCTGGCTTAACCACAGCATCAGGAAGTGGTGGTGGAAGGAGCACATGACCTTACCTCCCAGCAAGCCTTGTAAAGCCCAGTTGAGTCTCTGCTGAAAACATGGTGTAATTGCCAACAGTACTCAGGAGAGGGACTAATCTCTGTATCTGGGACCAAGTCATGGCTTTCTTTTCTGCAGAAAGTGAACTTGACAAAATTTTCATGAAGATTGAGGGTAAAAAAAACCTCAGAGGAAATTACAAGCTTCCTTTCACAGAGTTCTTTTCACCCCCAACATTAAAATCATGCTACCCTAGGCTTAAAGGTAAGCTGCGTTGCAAGTGTGACTTCCCCACTCCAAGTTCCCCTACAAGTAAAGCACCTTGAAGCCAGACTGAGGAGTGGGAGAGGGCCAGGGTGTGGAGGCTACCAGAGCACACAGACTCCTTCCAGTCTTGGTGGGTTTGGGAGGAAGATGTGCTAATCATTTGCCAGTTTGCCCTCCTCCTGTTTTGTGATTTATCCCTGGGAAATGCATTTCCCAGTCTCTCGAGTCCTCTGGCTTCTAGGACTTGCTGAAGATCACAGCACAGAGAAGGGGCTATTGCTCCCCCACCCCTGCTTCACCAGCAGTCCTCTCGTCTGCTTTACGACAGCCCTTCCTCTGCAGTCCTTAGGGACTCCAGTCACACAGCCTCATGCCTCCAGCCATAGGAGCATTTATGTCTTCTTGCTGTTGCTAATCTTCCAGTTGCCTCAACATCTTGTTTGTTATCTCAGCTCCTCCATCTCTTGTGAGACCATTTCCCTATAATAAATTCTCTCTGTTTCAAATACCTTGAGTAGTTTCTGTCTTCCCGACTAGTCACTGACTGGTAGAGAAAGAAACCTTCCAAGTGGAGATAGAGCTGACCTAGAACACTAAACCTTCTTAAATGGGTAGAATTCACTTGAAACACAATTGCTTTGGAAAGAGCTGAGGTTGGTAGTGACTTACAAAAGGTCTCATAAATACGTTTACTTTGAAAAAATGTAAAATAAAGACTGAATACTAAATATGAAATAAAGGTTGTGCTGATGACATTTTGCATTGATTTAAATTAAGCATAAAGGGGGGTCCTCTATAAATTCCCATTTGACATATTTAAGGAATATTTACTGATTTTTCCCTGCCAAGATCCAGTGCTCCCTTTCTTTTTTATTTTGTTATCATTAATCTACAATTACATGAAGAACATTAAGTTTACTAGGCTACCCCCCTCACCAAGTGCCCCCCCACCCCACCACAGTCACTGTCCATCAGCGCAGCAAGATGCTGTAAAATCACTACTTGTCTTCACCATGCCGCACAGCCCTCCCCATGCCGCCCCCTACATGCTAATTATACATGTGAGT